GAAAACGCATACATCCTCCATTAGATCCTCCAGATGAATCAATATGTGAATAAGTTCCACTAGCATGCCACCCTAATCGTACAAACAAAGGTCCATAACTTCCATCATCATAATTATTATCATCAAGTAAAGCAGCAATCGATTTTCGTACTTCATTATAATCAACTTTCGATGGTGTTGCTAATTTATTATCAGATGGTGTTGTTGATGCATGTAATACAAATGCAATACCACCTGATAAAGCAGCAGCAGCAACTACTCGATTTGTTGTCGCACTTCCAAAATTCCATCTTGATCGTGACCATTGATATTGTTGTCGACTATTATTACGTGCTTGACTCGTAAATGATCGACGAGCGATGTTACCGATTAATAAACGAGTTACAGGACGTGAAAGCATTATCTTATAGAAGGTAAATATAACGATAAACAACAAACGACAAATGTCTTTTTATTTCCACCTTCACACTTTACTTATATCTTTAACCTATTTATGACAAGTTTTCATTGGTTATTTTATTTTCACCTATTACAATATTTCAAAACGAAAGAGGACATCACTGGTTATTGACTATATTCATAAATAACTGAGAATTTATCTCTTGACACACCTACAGCGGTATTCATTTTTGAAAAAGATAACTTTATCGAAACTTTAAAATAATATAACTTACAGAAAAAAGCTCGATCAGGATACACGAATAAATTATATAAATAATTGAAAGCAATTTCAATAATTAAACTCTCATCATATGAATAATTACATAAAAGGAATATTTGAAGTATTTAAAGAAATAAATGAATTTTTTTATTATAAAAAGTTATGATTGGTAAAATAGCTGAACTTAATATAAATTAAAAATCGATTGATTATTTTATTTGTAAAATATCTCACCGATCCATATACATTAAAAATAGCATAGAGTTTAATGTTCATTGCACCTTCACATTTACTTTTGCTATCTATATTGCACTTCAGTTCCTTATACACATTCTCTTCAATAAATAACTTTTTCGATTGTTTTGTTTTGACAAAAAAAGCCACAAGCAAGAGATGTTACTATGACAAATATTTGCACAACTCTAATCTCTAAAGTTGCCACATGCTTTAATATGGTCTTACTTATGTCAATAATGTTTCATAGAGTTATTGTACTTTTCTTATTTGAGATAAATTATTTATATAAATAACCAATAATTAATTGAAACTATTATGATTAAATATTATTTTAAAATATAATTAATTACGAAGAATATTTTCTGGATGAGAGACGGATAAAGAGATAAAATAGACACATCCAACAATATAACAATATTAATTATTAGATTTTAAAATATTTATAGAAATATTCTAAAGTTAATTTAAATCTTCTATAGTTTCCATATGAGATTAAAATAACATTGCCAATTAATGAACAATATTTGACTAAATGTCATTGAGATGATTATTAAGAGCATGTTATATTCATTTTCTATTCTTCAACAATGAATATTTTATTTTAGAATGAATAAAAGAGTATCAAATTAAATAGGAATTTATTTATTTTATCATAATAATTAACGTTAAACTATCAGTTAAGATTTTTCTATCGAATGTTTTCGGACGCATAAAACAAACAGAAGATTTTTTTTTTAGATTTTCTTTAGAACTCACTTTATCTTACTATATATATATAAGAAAGAAAACAATCAAGAATATAAATTAACCATATTGACTTGAAACTATTTGAATTTTTAATCATTTATTAATATAAATTGTTTGAAATCGAATATATATGATATTCGATTTAATATTATTTAAAACAAATATATATTCGTCTTATTTATTTATTTAAATATCTCTTATCAATTATTATTTTTTACAAGACTAATTGAAAATCAAATAGTATAATATCGACGTAGAAACAGCGAACTTAAACACTTGATGAGATTTAAGAAGACTAAATGAATGTTGAAAAAGTTTTATAAATCAATTGTAAATAGGTATGAGTATGGAATGTCAGTTAAACTGTGAACGACGTCAACGAATAAACAAATAATTTAATTAATTCCGAAATTAGTCGATAATCATCAAAGATCAAATGAGTTTCAGTGAATTTGATTGATTATTTCTGATTTATAATAATCTCTGTTAATTTTTAGCAACTTTTTATTTAATCAAACCTAAATTGACGTTATTGAATGAAAGTCGAAAATGATTGTTTTTCTCTTGAAAATATTTGTGTCCGTTATAATTTCAACCACACTACTGTGATATTTATCAATACGAGAATAATTAAAACAAAACAAGAATTATTTAATATGTTATTTATGTTTAGTCTCTTGTTTGTTTAGTAATTAGATGAGAAATGGTTAACAGAAATACATATTTATTGTCAATCTATAAATATGAAAGATTTTAACAAATAACTTGTCTTTTTATTATTATATCGTTTGGAAGTTTAGAAATAAAAAATCAAATGACAAAGATTAGAAAGTTCTATCATCTTTTTTTTAAATATACAATGTGTCATGAGAAATGAAAATGATAATAATAAAAGAATTTGTCTGATTGATCAACAAATATAATTGATGATGTTAGATATAATTGTCATTGTCGAAGATAGAATTAGAAATATATTCGATATATTCATGTATAAATGATTATTTTCGTTTAACAAGAATAGGAAAATAAGATTTATTATATTTGTTAAATATTTTAGCCTTTCTCCTTCTATAGAAATAAATCAATAATAATATATTCAAATGAGTTTTTTGTTTTCAATCTAACAAATACGAATAGATCCAATATATGAATTATCTTTCATTAATATTTATTTGAAATATATATTATGAATCATAAGAATAAATAAGAATATTTAATTATAAATGAGAGAAAATAATCATATTATCATAGATAACATTCTTTTTTTTCTTCTATTTATGAATAAAGAAAAAGTAACGTTGAAATAATAAACTTTTCTTTTCGAATATATCTATGATTATTAAAATGATCAATTTTAAATAAAATATTTATTACATTGAAAAGTTCAATAGGAAAGATGATTCGCTTTAGTTTTTCTTTATTTTGATAGAAATGAGTAGAATTTATATAGATTTAAAATTAATCGTTGAATTTATTTAAAATTTCTATTCGTCTCGATCAAAGTTGATGATAACTTTGGCATTGTTTATTGATCATGTCAATATAAATTATTGCTATTGAGAAGCGTTTAAACATTAACATCCTAGTTCGATATATAGAAATGAACAAATAACTTTATTATTTCTTGATTGATTGACAAAAATCTTTGATCATACAAATAAATATAATCTTCAATGATTTTAAAATAGTTTATCATTTTCTTTGAATAATATTCTATATAGAATAAACAAATAATAGGACGATTAAATAACGATAGTTTAGAGATAATAAATGACCATCGTTAAACATTAATAGAATATCGAAATGTTTATTCTTTTCAATATTTAATTATAACATAGATAAAATTTTATTTTAATCATAATCATTCCTATAATACATCTTGAGATGATATCTTTCATGAATTTTGAAGACTAATTTTGATTAAATTAATTGTTGAGACAATAAATAAACCGATGTTTTTCTCTGATGTCTGATGAACATCGAGAAAATATTTTTGATATTAACTAAGAGAAAATAAAACTAAAACTAAGAATATAATTGACTATTATTGTTGATTAGTTTTTTCAAGTTATTATTTTATTTAACTTAATTATAATTAATTTCAAAAATAAATTCAAATTATTTTAAGAAACAATAAACAACAAATCTCAATAGTGTTCTAAATAAAGACAATTTATAATAAAATGAACACTTGGAGAAATTTTTACCAATTTCAATTGTTATATTTTTTCAAAACTGGTTGACGTTTTTATTTTGTTCATAATTCAATTAATATAATGAATGGTCTATAATAATGATATGCATTAACTTGAATATAGTCCTGTTGTTTTTTTTTTTATCGAATTATTTAAGTTTTCAATAATTGAAATAACAAGTTCTTATAATATGATAGATAACAACGAAGTTAGACTTATAGTTTTATTCAAATAGATATTAAACCATAGAAAAATGATCGATTTATCCAATGCATTTATAATCATATTAACAATCGATCAATGATCGTTAATCATGATAAAGTGTTGAATTTTAATATTTAACTATATATCTCTATTTATCAATCGAAGATAATTATATTTATATAAGGTTATCTCAATTTTCTATTGACATTGATTTGAAAGTTAAAATAAATAGAAGCCAATTGATATTCAATTCTTTTCCTTTTTCAGATCTCAAATTCTATCTTGAATTTAGTTATAAAAGGAAGAATTTATTCTTATCAAGAAGTTTCTATGTTTGATTAATGTAGCTATGACTAATATGAACAACATAGAAACTAATTTAACAAAAGTAACATAATTGTTCGATTGTTTTATTTTAAATGATTTAACTTCAAAATATATACTATTGAATATAATTCTATAATAATTATTTTTTTTTTATTGAACAACTGATTATCTCGTTCATAGAAGTCTAAATGTTAGACTATGGATTTAATCAGAAATATATTCCATAAACAATACTGATTGATTGTAAAAAATAAAATTATTGAAGTGTTTGACTATCTCCAAAACATCGTTGTTATTGATTTCTAATAAAGAATTTCAAAGTCGAGATTTGAAATAGACGTTGATTTGATGAAATATAGTTATTCATTATATAGATTGAACTATTCTAGTATCAAACATAATCAGTTTTAATAAGAACATTCAAATTGGTTTTATCTTACGATGATGATGTTCTAGAAAAATCTTTTAACTCTAAGATAAATTCTATTTACTTTTCGATTTTAAATATTAAATGAGACTAATTATACTTTGAGATAAAATAGAATTAAAAAGTATCATAAATGAAAAAATATATTCTATTCATAGTTAGTTATTATCTCACACTGACATTAATTTATATTAAATAAAAACTAAAATTTTTCTGAATCTGTAAGGTTGTCAGTTGGTTGTTGACGAACAAAATCAGTTCTTTGAGAATTATTTGATGGATCATTTGAATTATTCTCTGGTTGTGTATCATCCTAATGTATTTAATGATAATTATTAACAAAAAAAATTTATAATAATTGACTAACCGTTGAAGTTGATACAGTAGAATTTTTATATTTTCCACAACATCCATTACAACAAAAATTGCAACAACAACAACAACCACATAAACAAAAACAACATCCACAGAAACAACAACCAGTAAGACAACATATTAAACCATATAGAATTTTTTTACATGTTGACATTGTATTCATTGTTTGAGGATATTCTAAAAATCTATTCAAATATATTATTTATATTTTATTTATTTTACCTTCATATTGATCCATCATATCAGCAGCTATATTCATTTAAAATCGATATTTTATTTTTATAAATATATTATTATAATAAATATTTACCGTGTGCTCCTAAAAAATCATAAGTTGATCGAAGTTTTGGATCTCCAAGTACTTTATAAGCTTTATTAACAGATTGAAATCGAGCAGTTGCATCAGGATCAGGATTTTTATCAGGATCTAAATAATATTTTTATTTCATGTAAATAAAAAAAAAATGAAAAATAAATATTTATAATTGTTATACGAAGTTGCAAAGCTAATCTTCTATATGCACGTTTTATTTCTTCATCTGTTGCTGTTCGACTAACTCCAAGAATAGTATAATAATCTTCATTCGATTTTGAACTATTAATTACAATTTGAAATATTTTTATTCTTTATAAAACTTACTGTCGTTTTGATCGAGATTTTGATGTCATTATTCGTCGAATATTACACTTGATTATCGTTAGATATGAACAATTCTATCAACAAATAGAAATTCTATAATAATACTTATTATAGTTTTACCTTATTTCTTCAATTTAAATTTATAAAAGAAAGAAAAAAAAAATTCTTTTTTTTTTACAAAAAACTAAATCAGTTCATTTGAATAAATGATAAAATGATGAATTGTATTTGAAATAAAAAAAAACAACAAGATTTGTTTTCCTAATATCAGTAATCGATATGAAAAAAATATATAATCATAACAAGTTAAATGTTGATTATTCCAAATCGAATTATAATCGTTATTATTCTTTCGAATATTCTATCTTATTCATTTAGTATTATATTTTACTTTTTATAAATTAATATCGATTTAATAGAATAAATAAATTAATTTATTAACGATAATTATAGACGATTTAGTTAGAATTAGAAAATATTTTGTAATTTGTCGATGTCAATTTAAAATCGAAGATTAAATATTCATTGTAATTTTCTTCTAATATTATTTATCCAACATAACTTGGTTTGTTTTCAACGAGGAATAAATCATTTCAAAGGTTTCACTTTAAAAATGCTTCGATAAAAAGTCGAACAATGCAAAGCAACCAATCCTCATCGAATCATCAACAGTTTGTTTTCTTCTTTCAGCACAAGAAAATGTGATCAAATCAAACCAAAGAGTAGTTTTTTTTAAAAACAATCTACTTTTAATAAACAGAACCAAAAATTCTTTCGATCATTTCATATTCTCGTCACATCTAAACATAATAGTAAATAAAAACAAAACATCCATAGTTAACGTCATTCTTTCAAACATTTTGTCATATTTAGAAGTTAATTTCTAAAATGTTTTTTTTTTTCCTAATATTAACTAAGTAGAATTTAATAAACATGTTACTCTACAAACAAGAATTCTACTCTTTGAATTTCATTCTATTAGCATGGTAAAAATACTTTTTTAATTATTATATAAATCTCCAACAAAAAATGGTATTCGATAGATTTCTGACTGGATTATTCTGATATCGAATAAATAAATGTCTATTATCGAACTTCGAAATCATGAAAATGTGAAATCAACCACAAATTAAATCTAATAACATATAGGTCATTTATCAACTTCGATTTTATGATCTTCGTCAATTATTTGTTATATCAATTGTTTTTTATTTAGTTTTAACAAATATTTTTAATTAATTATCACAAATGATGCTTTCCAAATCTTCTAATTTTAAAATGATACTAAGCATTTTTAGATATTCTTTTCATTTTTCTTTATATTAAAAAGATATTTAGTTTTTCACTGTAAATATTGATTATTGACAAAAACAAAATTAGTTATCAGATAGTGACATAAGCACCCACATCACAGCCTATATCTATCGTCGATGAGAATTTAATAGGCGCACATTGGTCTACTAATTATAGGAAATATTTCTATTTCAATACATGTATGATAATTGAATATGGAAATATCTAGACATTGAACAATGATTGATTTTACAATAGGGTATTGTAATATCAAAATTATGGATGCTTTTTCTTTATAAACAAAAAAATAAACGAAGATTATATGAGAAAGATTATATTCATACCTTGATTTTTTTTTAATAATATAAGTTTATTTTAAAAAATTTTCAATATCGATTAATACTTTCCAAATGCTTAACTCTTATGATTGGTGGCATTTTTCTCAGATTCATTTGTTGTTCGTATCGAAGCCTTGTGAACAAATTTTCATCGAAGAATTTTCTTTAGTTGTATTATAAAAAAGTTTCAGAACAACAACACATGCATCATTCTTCCTTAGAACAAAGAATTAGACTCTTTTACCATATGATCTATCTAAATGATAGAGTGATACTCTCAGAAGTTGATGGAATACGAATGATTCCATCAACCTCGAAAATGCAACTAACAGAGTTATTGATATGAGACTAGTTCGATAAAGAATTCTTTGAGTAGATGTTTAACTTTTTCAGTCAAATATATTTATTCTCTTTCTCAAAAATTTTATTAACATAATGCTTCTTTTGTTTTTATTTAAGGATAATAATTATTGAAAGATTTTCAATAATTAAGATTTACGAAATGAAAATGAAATATTTTATTAAATCTATGTTTATTTCGATGTTAACTTATCTTGAAACTAATTATTTTTAAAAACAATATATTCACGAGTGTTTTGTTAGATATTCTAGACATATGACGAATCGTTTCACAACATACTTTAATAACTAAAATAGCAAAAGTCAAAATAGAATTTTCTCTTCACTCACACTAACATCTTCTTCACAATTTTACAAATTTCTATCTTAAATTTTGTACTAATTGAATTTTCTGAATTCACATAATCTTGAAAAAAAGAGAAAACGAATTTTTACGTACCTGAAAAGCAACTTAAAAAAAAAAGAGAAGTTTCAGACGTCATTATTGTTGAAAACTTATGTAATTTTCATACAGTCAAAATAGAAGAGAAAAAGAACAGCAGATTTAATGTAATAATACATGTCTCTTATCAAAAGAAAGAAGAAGAAGAAAAACAATAGAAATGTCTCATTTTCTTCACTCGTATAAATTATATTTACTCAGCAAGTCTATAAAAAAAACCCAGAGAGAAAGGTAATGTATGTGCACAAACTGCTGAGAGAATTAATAATTTCGACGATAAACAATATTGCTTTTATAATAGTATAGGAAGTTACTCATTATGATTATATTTAGTATTTCTACAAGTTTATGTCTAATTTCAGTCTAAACATTCTCATACGTGAAATAGTCATAGAATACAAATGTTATCTTCAGCAATTTCAAACAATGGTTCATCATTTTCTTTTTTACAATGAACGACAACGACATTGTTCATTCTGTTCAGAAAATGATGTTAAATTGGTCAATATCTCAAAGAATTACAAGCATTTATCAAACTGTTATGTTCCATGTCAGACACAAAGTATATTTACTGATATTGAATCAAAATGGGCTTATACATTTTAGTGTCTAATGCCAACATGCAAAGACAAATTTGAATCTGAATAATACTATCAATTATTAGACAAACGATTGATGTATATAGTAGATAATTTGTTATTACATCGAATACTTGAAGCTAATGAAGAATTCGGATGGTGCAAGTCGAGCAAACGATGCAGAGCTGAACAACTTGTATCTAATCATAAGGATTTGCTTGAGTATGTTAGATAACATGCATTCATTTCAATCAGCTGTTATAGAAAACAAAATATCTGTCAAACATTCGAAAGAAAAAAAAAAACTTTTAAAAGATTGATTTGTTCGTCTAAGTACATCAATATGATTGCGTTTATTGCATAAAATAATAGAAGATTTTAACACATTAATATTTACTATTCAAAATTTTGTTTTTTATATAGAATTAATAATCTACATGAAAATTTTAGACAAAGCGTTAAATCAAGTTGAATACTTGATAGGATAAATATCAATTAGAAATGTTTAGCTTAACATTAATTATTCTTTAATTTAAAGTCTAAATATATCTGTCCATGCGTCCTAAATTATTTTGCCGCTTGAAAATATTTCGAAGTATTGAGCCAAAAGTAAAATGAGTGTCGAAACCGCGAAAAAAAACGCCTTAGTTTCATCTAAACAAAGCTCATGTTTTTTGTTATCTTGTAGTTGACATTACAATGAGTTATCTAGCTAATGTACTTGCCTCTTTCTATCAGTTAATTATATTTATTATTTCGATGTCTTTCGATTGTCTAATGTCATTTATATTTTACATGTACAGTTTTGCTTGCTATTTACTTATTTTTCTTTATTGTATTTGACAGAAAACTTTGAAGATCTATATGACATTTAAGAAATTGATGCATTGATTGTCTTATTCTTCATTTGTAGGTATTATACATGTCATGCTTGCGGTCAAATATTATGTTTTCGTCACTCAATTGAATGGCATAAAGGTTTAACTTGTGATGAATTTGATGGTGAAAGAGCTCGAAATGAAGATTTAGCCTCTGATGTAACTGTTCTGGCATTTTCTAAAAAGTGTCCGAACGAATTGTGTGCTACTCTAATAATGAAAAATGAAGGATGTGATCTCATGATTTGTTGTCGTTTTGGATCTCATGTTTGTGCTGAATCGAAAGGTAATTGCGATCATGGAGGACAAAACTATTGCGGACAACGATTTTGTTGGATTTGTCTCGGCAAGATTGACATCGACAAGAAAATAAATGCTTTTATAAGACATTGAATTAATCAGTCTATCATATTTAGCAAAATGATCATACGATTAACTTTTACAAGAACTTCTATATGTAATTAAGCATTTTTAAAATGATCAAACAAGATTGAATAACTTCATTCTTTTTTTTTTCTTTCGTTTAATGAATGATCGAAAAGTAATGACCATGATAAGCATATAAAACTTGTCATATATCTTTTTTAGTGCTATTTGAGATTGTTTTCTTAATCATAGCATATAACTATTTTCGTGTACTGAAGGAGTTAATCAATTCAGTGTGTTTTGGAAATCTGAAAACGAATTTCTATGTGTAGTATTTAGTTAATCAAAATAGGATTCTAAACAGCTATTAGGCTTTTTGTAAATTATCAATTTCGAAATGGTTATATTTGATAAATCAGTTGTAATAGTCGGCTGTCAAACCGAACTGATTGAATTACAATGTTTTATTTATTTGGTGACTGATAGAATGTCACCAGCATTTATTTCAACCTCTTACATTGATAGTAAGATTCGTGTAAAGCAATCAAAACATAAT